AATTTAGGATAAAGGCTACTAACCAAAAGTTAGGATCACCGGAACATCGACCGAAGGCGAACACACAATGAAGAATACCAACCAAAAATTGGGATGATCAACAAAGATTACCAACCAAAACTTGGGATACAAGGCTACTAGCCAAAAATTAGAATAACCAGGGATACCAACCAAAAGTTGGGATAAGGAAAAGTTTACCAAGAAAATGGCGACTTCACTGGGGAGGGTACCAACCAAAAGTTGGGATAAAGCTGGAGACTACCAACCAAGAGTTGAGATGATCAACTGAAGGGGTACTAACCAAAAGTTACAATAACCACAAGGGACACCAACCAAAAGTTGGGATACAATCCACAAAAGATACCAACCAAGAGTTGGGATAACAATGGGTACTAACCAAAAGTTAGGATAACCGAGACACCGACCGAAAGAGAATTCATGATGAAAGATACCAACTAAGAGTTGGGATAAAACAAGAGGGGTACTAACCAAAAGTTAGGATAATCACAAGGGACACCAACCAAAAGTTGGGATACAACTTACAAAAGATACCAACCAAAAGTTGGGATAAAACGAGGATATACATGAAGTACAATCAACCAACTTACGATCTGAAAAGAAGATCCTGCTGAGGAAAGAGAAGTTTAAACAAATAACTCTATCAAGGAGTACAAGTAAGATGAACACGTCTATCAATGACTTTTTTGCTGGGGATAAAGTAACACCAAATCTCCTGAGTTATGCCATTATCTGCTGGAGAGACGTCTGACAATGATGATATCAAACCTGACTTATTCTTTGAATGCATATGTTTTAATATAGTGAAATCATTCATACAAAATAGAAATGCTACACATTTAGAAGATGCAATGCAAAAATGCTTATGATATGCAAAAGAAACACTCCACAGAGAGAAGTGCTGAGAAGATCAAGAATAAGTTTTGCTGAGGAAGACACATTGAATGACCTTCCTGAATATAATCTCTACTAAAGACTCCACTCTGTTGGGAATTGAGAGTGACATCTGCTGGGAGATCGTCCCAAAAATCTAATTCTGAAAAATGCCAATGATCATTGGACTTTGAATCTGTCGGAGATATCAACCCATCGTTGATCTACCTGTCAGGGGAATAAATACCAAACTCTGCTTGGGGAGAGAATTCAATGATACCAATCTTACCGGGGAATAACACTGAGCTTACCCTGTTGTTGGGGAATATTCTTCAACCTTACCCTGCTGGGGATAAGTGTGCACTGTTGCTGGAGAAAATACTTCTGATCTGATAACAAGATTTTGTGGGGAAGACAAAGTCCTTATTGCAGGAAAACAAACAAAGAGTCTCCTGCTGGACAACTGTCTGCTTGCATATCAACACCATTTTGTCTAGAGCATTCAACCTTTGAACACTTGTTGGGGCGTACAAATCAAATTGACTGGGGAACACAACCACCTGAACTCCTACTAGGGGAGGAATGATTAATAACTTCACCATGCTTTGTTGAGGATGCTAAAACTTCAACAATCTCTGTCAGGGAGATAACGCTACTGAGGAGAAGTGAGATCAAGCAAGCATCACGTTGGGGAATCTGATGAGATGTGAGCCATTGGGAATGATTGTGTCAAATACAGTTGGGCTTTTGGTTTAGGCATGGGACCAGGTTTATGGTGATTTAATTTTATTAGGGATTTATTCTTGGTTGCTAATAAAAGTGGACTTTAGAGGGGAACTACCAGACGAAAACTGGTGTTTAAAGGGTAGACTACCAAGCGAAAACTGGTGACAAAAGGTTAAGTTATCAAACGAGAACTGACTTCTTATTTTAGCATCAGATGGGAACTGAGTTTGTGGTTTTCCAGACAAGAACTAGACTTAAAAAAGGTGTTTACCAGACGGGAACTAGTTAAAGAAAGGATGACCAGATGGGAACTAGTTTAAAAGCTGACATGGACCAGGCGGAAATTGGTATTTAGTCAAGGGTTGACCAGACGAGAATTGGTTTTGAAGTGATTTAGGTTACAAAGTTGTGACAGGTGACAAGTTCAGGTTGTAGGATGAAACCCAACGACAAAATGCAATGTTATGAAGATTCCCAGCAATGGAAGGGAGGTCCTCTGTAGCAAGGCTTTTCAGAAGGCTAAGGTTATTTGATGGGGTGATGGCACGATTCCCCAACACTCATCTTGGACTCAACAGTCGCTGACGAAATTTCCTTGAGCAACTTGAAAATAAGGAAAGGTCTTGCCCTAGTGTAGTTCAACTTACCCTAGTCTGATCCTTGGGAAAGTTCACCTTGAAAAGAAAGTAGCCTTCCATGAGATGGCCTCAAGATGGCTTGCCCCAGAATTTATACCATGAAAAGATTTGTCCTCGATTAACCGACTCTTGGAGTGTTTGGCCTCAATATACTCTTGAGGTAGCTTGTCCCTGAATGAGCATTGAAGCGACTTAACTTGTCCTGATTAAACACTTGAGGGATTTGTCCTTAATCAACAGAATCTTTAGGTGACCTGCCTCTGATTGGTAGAGTCTCGAGATGATTCATTTATGATCAACCAGTTCTTGAATGATTTTCCCCATAATCAACTAATGCTTGGGGACTTTTCATAGACTGACTGATCCCATGCTCATTGGGTGTCAATGCCTCAGATCCATAGGGCTACAAGGTATACTCAATTCTAATCTAGACTGCTGAATGATACAGTCCTTTTCGATTGCTCCTTGTCGAAATTTCCTCAATGTCAATTACTGACATGCAATTAAAATTGTTTGTTTACGAATGGTAATTTTAATGCGATGTACATGCAAGCTTCTGAAAAAAGTCAATCATTATTAGAATAATGTGATAGTGTGTGGCAAATGAACCAATAATTCAGACACAGTTGTCGCAACTGCGAAAAGACCGACGAAAATAAATAGAAGAGTCGCCACCGAATGTTATTTATCCCAAAGAGAGGGAAAGAAAACGATCGAAGAAAACCTAAGAGAAAGGATAAGACAAAGTCATCGCAAACAAATCTTGGGTTCGGGAGTCGGTTGCGCAAGGGGAAGGTATGAGCACCCCTTATATCCGTTGTATTCAACGGGATCCACGCTTGTTGTCTAATCAAAGGGTGAGTTATCTAAAAGCTACTGCTAAACGGAAACGGGAAAGGGAAAAGAAAAAGGAGACTCGATAGGACATCGTCGCTCTATGCCTACGTATTCCCTCGTGCAATGGGAAAGTCAAAGTCAACATAGTTCGAAAAACTACGGGTGAATAAGGGAAGGTTGCTCGCCAAGACATCGTCGTCTTTGCCTACGTATCCTCATCTGGTATGACAAATCAGAGCAAAGGTAGTTCAGAAAACTACTGTTAAAAGGAAAAGGGTGCTCGCCAAGACATCGCTGTCTTGTGCCTACGTATTCTTATCTGGTATGAGAAATCAAAGCAAACATAGTTCACGAGGACTAAACCACTGGTTGGTTAAGTGTTTTTTATGAGTGACACTAAGTTCTCATTCCAGCAGTTAAGGTCGATGTCTGTTTCCGGTAGAACGGAAAAATATTAACTCTTTTCTGAAAATGATTTTGAAACAAATCCCGAAGGATAAAAAGGTTTGAATTTTGTTTGAGTTTTAGAGAAGTGCGTTGAATTTGTTTGAGATTCATGTTACACTAAAGACTATGATATAAGAGCGAATGCATCACATATCGCCAAAGGGGCATACACTAAACACTCTAGACAAGTGAGGAGAAACCTCCCACTCACCATTTACCATATACTTAAGGCTCATGGCGTACAACGTTCATCATTATTTATTAAGTGTCTTAGAGTTGTCTGAGATGAGAGGAAATGACACAAAAGAAAACACTAAAGGGAAACTGAAAACCCTAATGTTATCATACAAAATGGTCTTAAGGTTAGGATAAAAGGAAAGTTTACCTAATGTTATCATACAAATGATGGACCTAAAGTTGAGGTCAAAGAGAGACTATTTTAATTATTATCATGCAAAGGATTGAAAGCCTAATGTCTCTCATACCTCCAACTTAATTAGAAATCAAGTGGAACTAGTAATCCTAAGAGATCATGTGAACAAGCACAAGTAAACACCATACAAAAGGAACGATGTCATGATCTCAGGTACGAAACAAAACTGAGTGACTTTTCGTCCACAACCAAAAAGAACGATGTTATGATCTCAGCCACAAGGCAAGACTGAGTGACTCCTCGCTCACCATAAAGTACGACAAAATACAAGTTGAATTAGTTACGCAAACCAAACATACAACTAAGAGTGAAGACTCCTCAATCAACAACATGTTGTAATCAAAAAGTTAAACCCTAAGCATGCTTCACATCGCTTTAGTACATCACAGTCGTAAGTTCCAACAAGCAAATAAGAACGACACTTAACAACTTCTATCTTTAGAACAAAAGCGTATACATCAGCATCATTTCCTACATTCAAATCAACTTATGCACAATGAGAATTTTAGAGACATCAACCAATGAGAATTCATATGCAATTTCTAGCATCAATAAGATTAAGCAAGCATAAATATCTCGAGTATCAAAGCACCAATCTCATCAAGACAATTCAACCATCATCAAGAGAAATAAACAAAGTTAGTCACCAAGGTTCTAATCAAAACTTAACAAGAAAATTAATTCAACAAATAACAAAAACTCTAGTCAAAGCTATCAAGAAATCAATTCAACAAATAACGAAAACTCTAGTTAAAACTATCAAGAAATTAAAAGTTTATTCAAGAATTAGAAGTTTAATCCAAAAGAAATAAACCAAGATCTAATTAATACAACTAAAGTCCAATTTAAAAAAATCAAATTATCAAAACTCAAATTAATTAAAACCTAACAAATTAGTCAATAAACAAATTAATCAATAATTAACTAAATTAAAATCAAATTAACCAAAATTTAATAATCTAAAGACAAATGCTAGAAACCAATTTCTTTACAAACAATGAGAAAGAAAATGAAGAAATAAAATAATAATGGAAGAAAGAAAAAGAAGAAAAAAAACAAGATCAAGATATTGGCTGGTGATGAAAGCCCACGATCCAAAATCCAACAAGGGTAAATCACTACAAGCAGCAGATATCATCAGATTCAATTTCTCACAAAAATCCACAATATTCATCGTTCCCATCCTTAAAGGTAAACACGATCAAAATCACGAATCAATTCGACCTTTCTCTGCTTCGCTTTCGCTCTCCTTCTCCCCTTCTTGCTTGTTGCGACTCGCTTTCATCCGTTCGTTTGGTCGTTTTCCCCTACGTCTCGGCTTCGCCGTTCAATCTTTGCTTCTTCTTCCTCTTCTGGTGGATGGCTTAATGTTCTTCTTCTCCTTTTTTTGAAATTTTTTGTTGTAATTAATATACATGGGCTTTATGACTTTTGTAAGTAAAAAATGTAACTTGGGCTTTATGAATTGACTCGAATTTTATTGACTGATTTTTTTGTGAAATTGGATTGGAAAAAAAAGTAAAAGAGAAAAAATATGTATAGTGGATTATTCAAATGGATAATGAGAAATGTGAATTGGACTTGTAAATTCAAGTACGGATATGGAAATGAATTGAATTGAAAAATGGATATAAAGAATGAATATATGTACATTGGATAAATGGACATGAATTGGATTGAATATGAAATTTAGAATAAAAAGGATAAATGAATCAAAACTCGGATAGAAAATGGTTAGGGATATCTGAAGTTGATGATCCTGAATAATCCCTCCACTAGTACTTTCCACCAACACACACCCTGACTGAATTTAATCCAAAAAACCATACTTGAAACTCTCCCAATAGCCTCTGATAAATTAGGCACAACTACCACTGAACAATCATCTGAATGAGACAACCTCTGAATCTTCGATCAAGAGTATTCTTGAATCACTTTGAATCTGTCTGAATAAATCCTCGAGAAAATAAATCCACAGAGGAGCATAAGATGAACCTGATCTTCTGGACCAAATCTCACATGAACCATTGCTTGGTAACCTGATGAATTCCAATATGGAACAAAATGACCTTGAATATACATTGCATGAGAAATAGCCATTGACACAGGTAACTTGAAAAAGATGCATACTCTTGATGGTTTGACAAATATTAGGCCAAACTTCTGTCTGATCTTAAGCGTAACTGAACAACCACACACCTGACTTGAAACTAAAACATTGTCTCTGATAACCATGATCTCTTGCACCAGCCAACCAATTTGAATAAAAGGAAATATAAAATCCTAGGCTCTTGATGCCTGACAAATTTGGAAGAATGTAAGCTTGATATTTGATGATCTTTGATGTGAAATTACAAAAATAAGAATTCAACCTTCTACCAAACTTGAATGAAAGTATCTCAAGGCTAATAGGAAGCCCTGACTCAGAGAAAATACTGATCCCATGTCTTAGAAGGCCCATGCAGAATATGATTATGAGTTATGATCTAATGATGATGCAAATGAACACGAAGCAAAAACCCAGTCAAGGTTAGAAAAAGATTGGACAAATTTTGGGGTGCTACAACAATGTTGATTTAGCTAGTGCAAGATATAGCAAGAAGAAGATTAACAAATCTCGTAGGAGTCAATTTACGCAACCTTGTTGTAGTATGCCTTCAGAATAAATCCTGCTTCAATTAGGTCTTTTAAGGTTTGAATCATGGTCTGGTTCACGATTATTAAAACAAAGAGTGAAAGACTCAAAGTTTGATTATTTCCTACCCCTTCTCTGTGACGATCTCCAATCCTACGTTTAGCTAACTTGGCACAAGCGCTCACCTTTTAAAAAAAATTTGAATGGTAGGAGTGATGGTTAAGGAACCCACAAGGTTTTCGGAGTGACAGTCACCCCTCTTGTCTTCTGTGTCTGTAGTCACACGACTTCGTTCTTGTTCGATGATTTTTCTTTTGTGATCCTTCCTTTTTATTCTTTTGTTCCCTAATTTTTTTCTGGACTGATTTTTTTAAAAAAAAAATTCTGATTTTGAAGTCCAGCGGGATACCCTAATTTTTGCTTGTCACTTGCTTTCAAGTTTTTTTGACTTAGCGGACTTTCTTTCTTTTTTTTCCTTTACTTTTTCTCTTTGAAACAAGTCGAGTGACATTGGTTATCTTGATTTCTCCAAAAGAGTTATGACTGTCTCACTCCTGGTTAGTGAGGTATAACCATTGTGGTTGTCGAGGTACGACCTCTTGAGAAAGATAGGATGTGATTGGTCCTTGAATGGGGATACTCCTCTATGAAATTTGAACTCCCATTAAAAATAACTGATGAGTACCCTGCCCCAGGTTAAGATGTGAGGATTTGAAACAATTCCTTATCTCTCTAGTGTTTAGCGGATTTGAAACAATGCATGTACGTTATCGACATGATTTTATCCGAAAGCATACGATCAACAATTATGGGTATTCAGTTTTCATCATCCTTCCTATAATCTTTGCTAAAAAAAACAGTGATAAAGTGGAGTGAGCAAGAGGTATATGTGTTTGTGCTTTGCAATAAAATGAGAAAAATGAGCGAATGCGACATGATTAATTCAGAAAATGCATAATCACTTCACTAATATTAACATTCAAAACAACAATATTTAAAAACAAATAACAATTGACAGGAAATAAACTACAAATACAAATGATAAAGGTGTCCAAGGACTGCCAATGTTGAGGATGTCTTCCTGTCTGGACCACTGACTTTAGGAGATGACCCTTGAAGTCTTCAAGCTTAAACAACTGAGAGGTTGACATGGACAACCAAACTTTCTTCTGGAAAGGATATGTACCCTTTGTCAATCAACTGTTGCACTTTGGCTTGGAAGGCTTTACAATCCTCGATTGAGTGCCCCATGGATCCTCTATGATATCCACACTGCACATGGGGATTGTACCTAAGAGGGTAAGGTTTTGACACATGCTTAAGAGTCTTGGCCTCCACCAATGAGTTTTGAATCAGATGTGGCAGCAATTGACTATATGACACAAGAACTGGATGAAGAGGAACTATAATACCCCAAATTTTGCCTTGAGATTTAGTAGTTGCATTTTCGCATCCCATTTCGTTTTGCATCGCATTTTAGCTAACCGCTGACAGGTTGGTGTAATTGTTGATTTTTGCAGGAAAATATCATGTGGCGCGCTTTGTAGTTCGTGAAGGGTAAGATGGTCATTTGTTTGCATCCGACTGTCAATTTACGAACTTTGAGCTGTAGTCAGGAAATTTGAGCCGTGTGATATTGTTGATGTGAGTCGGGGTCGAAGTGTAGCTGGATTGGTTTGATAGTGGAGGATTTGAGCTGTTCCAAATTTAAGTCGATTCAAGTTAGTGGATTGAAGTTAGCCGGAGAATATTGATCATTTGAGTTTAATCAGACAGTTGGGATTTAATCGGAAGTTATGTCAGAGACGAGGTTAGTCGGATAAATTGGATGAACCGAAAATTAATAAAAAAATATAGAATTTCATTTCATTTTCATGGCATTTTAAATCATTTGTATTTCATTCCATTTTCATTTTTTAATCAATTTTATTTCATTTCCTAATGTCATTTGCATTTCATTTTAAATCAATTCTATTTCATTTCAATTTTTATTATCATTGCATTTTTTTTAAAAATAATTTTTTTTATTCCAAATATTGTTTCCACTTCATTTTTTAATAATTTTAAATATTGTTCTCATTTGCATTTTTAAATAATTTTATTTTGTTTTTTTGAATTAATCTTATTTTATCTTCTTATTTATTTATGGTTTTCATTTCATTTTAAGTGGAAATATAATAAAAACATTTTAATTAGAATGTTTCATTTTTATTTATAACTAAAATCAATTTACATTTTATATCAAAAATAAAAAATAAATAATTTTATAATTACATTTTACATAAAATTCCTAAAAAATCCTAAAGTCCTCCGACTCTCGGTTTTCCGACTTTTTTCCGATTAGCGCTCCGAACCTGCAAATCAAAACGAACAAAATTTAACCGATTAGAGTTTCGTTCCGATACCCTCAGAGCATTGTCATCATCGGGTGCATCGGGAGGATAACGGATTGCTCCGAAGCCAACTCCCGACTTATTCTCAACCTCGACAAGTCCAGGCAACATATGTTCTTATTTCGAGGCATCCGAGAGAGAGAGATAAAAAAAGCGCTTCCAGAAAAGTGATTATCAAAAAGTGCTTATTGAAAAAGCACTTATTCAAAAAAAAAGCTGGATTTGCCAAACAAGGCCCTAACCCCTTTCTAGAGTTTCCAAAAATCCAACGGATCAAACAAGCTAACAAATCGCAACAAACTCACAGCCAAATCAAAACAAACAGGTTCAAAGTTCCGTCAAAACGCATGCAACAAACTCAACATGAAGGTCGTATGAATCTCTAGAAAAATCGCCAAAACGAGTCAACAATCATCACACAAATCATCAACAAAACCGAAAACGGATCCAGCCCATAAATCAACATATAAAAGCCATCAAGAGATTCCAGAAAGGGGAGATCGAAAACCTAAAAAGCCAAACCCAGACGGCGCCGGAGCAGAGGTTCAGAAGAGCTAAAAGCTCATCATCATCATCATCCGACGGGTTCAGAAGAAACTCTAAGGCCTTGTCATCATCACCCCCAGTCGAAAGAAGAAGAGGAAGAAGTTTTTTCGGAAAAAAAACCCAAACGCCACCGGATAAGCCAACCGCGACAGGAAAAGTCCGCCAGCAACCAGATCAGCGGCGGCGGAGACCATAAGGTCTCGACGCCGGTCAAGCTCCACCAGCGGCCAAACTCACGACGACCTCGTTTTCCTCATCATCGGCCGCAGTCCGCAAACCAAACGAAGAACAACACCACCGCGAGACCCACGCGACACCGGCGCAAGAATCATAATCGGAAAAAGGTAAATGGGACGAGCTTTTATGTTTAAAAATGGGTTTCTGTGAGTAGTTTTTGCAGATTCAAGATGAGAAGCACTGATCAGCGGCCATGCAAAGAGAAAAAAGCTCCAAGTGAACAAAAATGGGAGACAACGGTCTCAAGGAAGAAGGAAGAGGGTTTTAAAACCCTAGTGAGTTTCGGCAGCACAAGACACGCCCCATCCCCTTTTATTTTTTTACTTTTCATTTTTCTTTTACTATGATTTCATTTTCTTTTTTAAAATTTGTAATTATGTCATAATAAGTAGTTAGTTTAATTAAAAAGGTTTTGTTATTTAAACCTTGTTTTAAGACTCTGTTTTTATAATAAAAATTAAAACATTTTTTATAATTAAAATTAAAACATTTTTTTAATTAAAACTTAAAATATTTTTTAATTAAAACTTAAAACATCTTTTTTATAATTAAAACTTAAATTCTTTTTTTTTCTTTGAAG